CCCGCACCTCGCTCAGCCAGTGAGCAGGAACCGGTCTGTATGTGGGATCCGAACCCTCGGCGGGAGCGCCGCCGCACTCCCAAGCGGCGCACTGTAGCAGTGTGCCACCAGGCCGGCCCTTGATTGATTCTTTTAATGTATTAATTGTAATAGTTAAATTTTAACCCTTATTATACTTCCTCTCATCTTGGAGGGTGAGCCCCAGATTAGATTGATTCTTTTAATGTATTAATTGTTAATAGTTAAATTTTAACCCTTATTATACTTCCTCTCATCTTGGAGGGTGAGCCCCAGATTAACTATAGGCTGCTAGAGGCAGCAGCCCCACATCAGTGAATCAGAAAGATTTTTCTTTTATACGCTAAAATTTTAATTTTGTTTCATGATATATTGTCACTTTTCCAATTTCATTTTCCAGGAACCCTCTGGATATTGATGCCACTGGTGTGGTTGGACTGTCATTTAGTGGACACCGAATCCAGAGTGCTACTGTGCTCCTCAATGAGGATGTCAATGACCAGAAGACTGCTGAGGCTGCGATGCAGCGCCTCAAAGCGGCCAACATTCCAGAACAAAATACTATTGGCTTCATGTTTGCATGCGTTGGCAGGGGCTTTCAGTATTACAGATCCAAGGGGAATGTTGAGGCTGATGCATTTAGAAAGTTTTTTCCTAGTGTTCCCTTATTTGGCTTCTTTGGAAATGGAGAAATAGGATGTGATCGGATAGTCACAGGGAACTTTATATTGAGGAAATGTAATGAGGTAAAGGATGATGATCTGTTTCATAGCTATACAACGATAATGGCACTCATTCATCTGGGGTCATCTAAATAAAGCCATCTTTAAAGTGGCTTTCACAATGTATCAACTTTTGGGTTCTACATTGTCCAGAAAATGTAAACTTGGGATATGTCTATTTCAAACAAAAAGAACCTTAGCTATATCTGTTTTTGTAGCTTTGATTGATGCTCTGAGTTCACATTGAGGTAGTTTTTAATATATTAGGTGAAGGACAGCTTTGTCCATAACAGTGCACAGATCAGGAATTGACAGCTTTTGTATCAGGCACAGGCAAACTGATTACGGCTGTGCTGCACCAGATCATGTAGCTGCTGTGTAATGTGACTGTAAGTAGTCTTCCTGTGTAAGAGGATGAAAGGGGATCATCAGTAGGATGGAGGTTTAAGACATTCCACGACGACCTCTTTGCATTGTTAGATGATCTTTTAGCAGAATCATGAACTTTTTTTTCTCCCTTAGTAAAGGAGAAAAATATACAGATGGCTTGTTTGAGAAATCTTTCTCTGCTTTTCAATTTTACCAATTTTTTCAGAAGCTGTAACAATATTTATCACTGACTTTTACTTATTTGATAAAAATTAAAGAACTATTTTTGTTTTGGTACTCTAAAATTCAGTCAGATAAGTTGACCAGACTAATTTGTCCATTTTCCTTTTTTCCTCAATAAAGAAACTGCAAGAGAAAAATCTTATTTCCCACCTACCTCTATTTAGCTAATTGGCATACCAGAGAATTATATCACTTTATTTTGGTTTTATACCAATAAAACATGCCTTAGAAACTCATTCAGATAGTGTTTTGCATTTCATTGCTTTTGGTGAGTGAATTAAGGAAATAAACTAATCCTTTGTAAATTAAAATCCAGAATAGTAGGTGTTTGTCAGCTAGTCAATTCTGTTAAGTTCTCAGTAGAATGATTTTCAGGTTTGAATTTCTAATTATGCAAATATGAAAATGAGAGATGTGTAGAGAGCACCACTTTTCTTTTGGTGTCCATTCTTTCCTTTTCACATACTGATAGAACCTTTGGTTTTCAGTTAGGCACATTCCTTCCAGAACAAAGACTATATTTCCCACTCTCCTGTGCAGGTATGACTGTGTTCTGGCCAGTTTAATATGAAGAGAAATGATCGATGTCCTTCAAAATGGCATGACCATTTTTTTGCCCCTTTTTCCATCCTGCTACATCTTGCTTTGTAAAAGGCTGCATCAAAGAATATATTTCATTTACTTTGATCCAAGTAAAACGAAAGCCCTTACCAGCCAAGTAGAAATCTGGCTACATCTTGCTTTGTAAAAATATATTTCATTTACTTTGATCCAAGTAAAACGAAAGCCCTTACCAGCCAAGTAGAAATCTAAGAAGGAAGGAAGGTAGACCCTGGAGTTAAGACCTAGAAATAGATGCACCCTGCGGAGTCATTAATGAGGGGGTCCAGTAGGCTGCTTTATTAGTACATTTCTCTCAATTTTGCTTAAATTTGATCATTGCAACCTAGAAGGCCAGATAGCAAAAGGTCTGTCCCTTAACTATATTGCACATGTAACAAAAGGAACATGCAAAGAATTACAATAGAAATAAACTTTTACAAATCTGACAACATTCTATATGCAATTTGCAGAAATTTTCAAGAAAAAATAAATGTGCTTTTGTCGTTTTATACTCGCACCGTCTGGCCAGATTAGAACCACCATAAATTCAGTTTTAATGGAAACAGGCTCCAAATCCTCTTGATGGGAAATCATGAGATTTTAGATTGCTGATTTGATTTTCAGTTGTAGAAACTGGGTATGTGTTGGCTTAACGAAAATCCTAAAATAATAAAATGTAGTAAGCATTAGTAATAATATCCTTGTTAAATAAGCAACATTAACACTTATACTATGTAAAGAATATGTTACCAGAAAGTTATTTTAATATTGGCCCTATATACGGAAGAACAGTCAAATATTTCCAAGACATGTTATTTCTCTTTTTATGCATTTCACTCCAACTTTACACCACAGCTGGACAGGTTACAAGAACATATGTAACTATAAAGTAGAAAACATTGGAAGAAGGAAATAAACGTCATTTAATATTCTGGTACTAAGAGGGAAGGAGTACTTTCATTTCTTAAAACAGTTTTTTAAGTTTTTGTTCTTTAGTGACTGTCATCACAGTCAGCAAAAAGGACTAGAAATTGAGAGAAAATATATTCACGAATGTTGATTTTTAAATGTAAATGATCATATTGAGAATTTTGAGACCATTGTCTTAATATTTTTCTAAAGCCTAGATAAAATAGACAAATTCCTATTTTAAATTTAAATGATCAGATTGAGGGGAATTTTGAGGCCACTTTCTTAACATTTTTCTTAAACCTAGATAAAATAGACAAATTCTTAGAAACATAAAATCTGCCAAAATAAATCACAAAAATAAAAACTCTAAATAGACCTATACCTAGTAAAGAGATTGAATTAGTAATTAAAAGGCTCTCAACAGAGAGAAACAAGTCAGAATAATACGTTGAACTCTTGGAAAGACAGAACAGAACTGATTATAGGTGGAGGGGTAGTGAGAAATTGGTTAATGGACATAAAACAGCTAGTTAGTAAAAATAAGTTATATTGATGTACAGTCCAGCTAGGCAGCTGTAATTAACATTAACTTACTGCATGTTATCAGATGACTAGAAGAGAAGAGATTGAATGTCCTCAACACAAAGGAATGATTACATTTTGTAATGATAAATATGCAATTCACATATCTGATAAAGATGTAATATCCAGAACACATACGGAACTCCTCAAATGCAACAACAAAAACCTGTTTAAGATATGGCAAAGGACTTGGACATACAGGTGGACCAATGAGCACGTGAAAAGATGATCAACACTACTAATCAATAGGGAAATGCAATTCAAAACCACAACAATGTACCACCTCATACCTATTAGTATGGCTATTATAATAAAACAAAAACAGAGTGTTGGCAAGGATGTGGAGAAACTGGAATTCTTGTACATTGTTGGTGGAAATATAAAGTGGTACAGACACTGTAGAAAACAGTATGGCAGTTTTCAAATAAAATATGGAATTACCATTTGATCCAGCAGTTTCACTTCTGGGTACATACACAAACTAATCTGAAGCAGGGGCTCGAGGATATATTTGTACACCAATGTTCATCGTAGTAATATTCACAGTAGCCAAAATTTGGAAGCTACCCAAATGTCCATCCATAGATGAATGGATAGACAAAATATGGTATATCCATACAATGGAATATTGTTCAGCCATAAAAAGGAATGAAATTCTGACACATGCTACCTCATGGATGAACCTTGAAGACATTATGTTAAGTTAGGTAAGCTAGTCCAAAAGGGCAAATACTGTGTGATTCCACCTACGTAAGATACCTAGAATAGTGAAATTAATAGAGATAGAAAGTAGTATAATGGTTACTTTCTGTCACGGGTTGGGGGGAGGAGTGAATGAAGACTTACTGTTTAAAGAGTACAGAGATTCAGTATGGGATCATGAAAAAGTATTGGAGACTGATAGTGGTGATGGTTGCACACAATGTGAATGTACTTAATGCCACTGAACTGTACACTTAAAAAATGGTTAAGATTGTAAATCTTATGTATATTTTACCACAATAAGTCACCTAAAAGAAAATCATCTGGCTAGCTATTCAAAAAAAACTGTCAAGCTACAAGACATAGAGGAACCTTTAATGCATATCACTAAGTGAAAGAAGCCAGTCTGAGATTCCAAGTAGAGGACATTCCGGAAAAAGCAAAAACAGTAAAGACGGTAGTGGCCAGATGTTCAGTGGGAGAGAGGGAAGGGCGAGTGAATACATGGAGTACAGGAGATATCTAAGGTGGTGAAACTAGTGAATACAGTACTATAATGCTGGATCCATGACATCCATTTGTCAAAATCCAAAAAACTACAGCAAAAAGAGGGACCTTAATGTAGCCTATGCAGTTTAGATAATACAAATGTTCAGTATTGGTTCATTAATTTAGACATGTGCCACACTGATGCAAGATGTTTATAAAAGAGGGGCTAGGTAGAGGAGGGAAGCATATGGGAACTCTCTGCTCAGTTTTTCTGTTAATTTAAAATTTCTCTAAAAATAGTTTTTTTTTTTTTTAAATGAGGGCTTTTTATTTTGTATGCCATATCTCAATTTCTCACACTTACATGTATTTGTTAAATAAATGAATTATGGGTGAATGAATCAAGGACACTAGTGACAAACTCAATTCACAGTATCTACAAATGAGGGCTTTTTATTTTGTATGCCATATCTCAATTTCTCACACTTACATGTATTTGTTAAATGAATTATGGGTGAATGAATCAAGGACACTAGTGACAAACTCAATTCACAGTATCTACAGAGGGCTAGGCTGTGTGGGAAAGCCATTGTGCATGCCAGTCTTGAAGAGGTCATGGTTCAGAGATGGACTGTTCCATTTGGCCAGTATTTGCTCCTCTGCCTCAACTATATACCAGCCCCAAATCTTTGATGGTCAGAACACGCACTCTTCCAGAACGCTTCAAGACCTTACTTTCATACTTCCTTAAAGTTGCTACTGCTTTTTTCCTATTATGTTTCAATGTAACTTCACAGGTGAAAAAAACTGGAGAAACTAAATTGTTCTGACCTAACCAGTTCTTAATGTTGCCCCCTAAAAAGATGAAAACCTCACATTCTGCAAAATCATGCACTTAAAATTACAGACCTTATGGGGAAAATAGGTCTGGAACTTTGTAAGCTGTGTAGTAACATTAACAATCTTAAATTTCCTCTGGTATTTGCACTAAGAATTACTCAATCCATTTTTTTTCAGCCTTGAACTTACTGGTTTGTGTTTCTCCCTCTGAGATACAGATCCTTGAAATCAATAATTTCTAATAGAAGCCATTTTCATTAATACTGAAAATATGACAAAAGAGGTATCTTTCTTCATCAATCAATACTTTTTTCTAATCGTCAGATTAAATGTCTTCACAACTTTTTCATCTATATTTCCCAGATACCTTAACACAGCAAAAAGGGAGTGGTTTTTGAAGCCACTAAACCAGCCACTCCTTGCACTTACAGGATCTTCAAGTTTTTTGTTAAGATTTCCATATATTCTTAAGGGTTTCTCTCTAGTTGTGAGAATTTGCCCTGACTGCTTCAACACATTAGCTTGCAAAGAAAGATCATGCTTGTTTTAGTCTGTTTTGTGTTGCTACAACAGAAATACCTGAGAAATACCTGGGCAATTTATAAAGGAAAGAGGTTTATTTGGCTTATGATTCTGGGACAGCTGCATCTGGCACGGGCCTCAGGCTGCTTCTACTCATGGGGGAAAGTGGCAGGCAGCAGGTTGGTACAAGCAGATCACATAGCCAGAGAGGAAGCAAGAGAGAGAGAGGAGGTGCCGGGGTCTTTTAAACAGTCAGCTCTCACAGGAACTAATAGAGCGAGAACTCACTCACTACCCCCCCACCCCCAGGGAGAGCATTAATCCATTCATGAGGGATCCGCCCCCATGACTCAATCAGTTTCCAGCACTGCCACATTGGAGATCAAATTTCCACATGAGTTTTGGAGGGGACAACACATCCAAACTCCATCATTCTGCCCCTGGCCCCCCAAAACTCATGTCACTCTCACATACAAAAAACAATCATTCATTCTATGCCAACAGTCCCAAAAGTCTTAGCTTGCTCCAGAACCAACTTAAAAGTCCAAAGTCTCATCTGAGACCAAAAGCAAAAGTCCTTCCAGCTGTGACCCTGAAAAACAAAGTCAAATCTATCCCTGTAAAAGTCAAAACCAAATTTATCTACTGCCAAGATACAATGGTGGAACAGACATTGGGTACACGTTCCTATTCCAAAAAGAAGGAATAGGCCAGAAGAAAGGAAAAACAGGCCCCGAACAAGTCCAAAACCCAGCAGGGCAGACATTATGCCTTAAAGCTCCAAAATAATCTTCTTTGACTCTAAGTCCTGTATCCTGGGCAAAACTGGGCATCTGGGTCCCCCAAATTTCAGGCAGCCTCACTTCTACAGCTCTGCCAGGCACAGCCCAGTGAGCTGCGCTGTTGCCTGCAGCTTTTCCAGGCCTGCGTTGCATGTTGCCCGTGGCCCTGCAGTTCTGGGGTTCTGGCGGCAGTCCTGCTGCCTTGGCTCTACTAGACATTTCCCTGGCGGGGTCTCCCTGTGGGGATGCTGACCCACATTCCTGCTCAGCATTGCTCTAGTAGATGACCTCTGCAGTGGCTCAGCCCCTGTGGCAGGTCTCTGCCTGGGCTCTCAGGCTTTTCCATACATCCTCTGGAATCTGGGCAGAGGCTGCCATGCCTCTACTGCTCTCACATCCTGCTGGCCTGCAGACTTAACACAACGTGGACACCACCGAAGTTTCAGGCTTCTACTCTCCAGGGCTGCTGCGTGAAGCACACTTGGAGCCACTCTATCCGGAGCAGCTGGGTGCAGGACGCAGGTTCCTGAGGGCCGCTGCGCCCCACGTCTGTCCTCTGGGACAACTCAGTCCTTCTAGGCCCCAGGGCCTGTGATATGTGGGTTACCCTTCCAGGCTTCTCAAATGCCTTTAGGGCATTTTTTCCATTGTCCTAGTTCTTAGCATCTGGCTGCCTCGCCGCCAAAATAATGTCTTTAGCAACCAGTTTATCTGCTTCACCCTTGTGTTTTTCTCCTGCTCTCCGCTTCTCTACCTCATGGCCAGGCTGCAAATTTTCCAAATCTTTACACTCTGCTTCCCTTTTAAATTCTGGCTTTATATCATGCCTTTGCCACCATAACTCAGCATATGCTGTTAGAAGTAACCATGTAGCTTCCTTAATGCTTTGCTGCTCGGAAATTTCTTCGGCCAAATGCTCTGGTTCACAACTCTTAAGTTCCAACTTCCACAAAGGCCAAGGGCATGGACACAATGCAGCCAGGTTCCTTGCTATGGTGTAGCAAGCGTTATCTTTTGTCCTATTTCCAATAAGTTCCTCATTTCTATCTGAGACGTCATCATCCACATGGCCTTTACTGTCCACATTTCTATCAGCATTCTGCTTTCCACTACATAAGTCTCTAAGACATTCCAAACTTTCCCTTGTCTTTTTTTCTTCTTCGAAGTCCTGCAAACTTCTCTAACCTTTGCCCACTACCCAGTTCCAAAGCTTCATCCACATTTTCAGGTATCTGTATAGCAACACCCCACTCCTCGGTACCAATTTTCTGTTTTAGTCCATTTTGTGTTGCTATAACAGAAATACCTGAGACTGAGTAATTTATAAAGGAAAGAGGTTTATCTGGCTTACGATTCTGGGACAGCTGCATCTGGCACGGGCCTCAGGCTGCTTCTACTCATGGCGGAAAAGTGGCAGGCAGCTGGTGGGTATAAGCAGATCACATGGCAAGAGAGGAAGCAAGAGAGAGAGAGAGAAGGTGCCAGGGTCTTTTTTTTTTTGTCTTTTTCCGTGTCTGGCAACGGATCGCAACCCTCAGTGTTGCCCCGCAACCCCCCCTCCCCCAGAGAGAACATTAATCCATTCACGAGGGATCCGCCCCCATGACTCAGTCAGTTTCCAACACTGCCACATTGGAGATCAAATTTCCACATGAGTTTTGGTGGGGACAACACATCCAAACTCCATCAATGCTGAACCAGTGTGTCTTTCACATTGTACTGATATCATTCCCCTATTTACCAACTGCATATGAGCTGCTGTACTTCACAGAAGCACATACACCTTGTAGCAGAACAGACTGGGTTCTGTGATATGACAACTTATACAAGTCTTTTATTTAGGTAGAGAAGGATTAAATTTTGAATTTCTTTTACCTTATGGTGTTTCATTTTCTGCCTTTGTAAAATAAAAGAAATGATTTGATTCACTTTGAAGTTTCTTCAGTGTTCTCCATGACCTATGGAAAATAATTAAGAATTGAGATTTTTTTTATCTCAATTTTTCTTTATATGCACACCTACCTATTGTTGTCTCATCTTATTGACATATATAAACTCATCCCTTCTGTCTGTGATGTGAAGTTGTGGTGAATTAACCTAGAACATCCAAAATTTCCAGTGCCCTGCCCTGCAATGCTCCTCAGAACACAAGAGTTGTGTCAATATCCACATTCAAGTCTCACATATAAGTTCCATTCCTACCTTGCCTCACGGCCTATTTTCTGTTACCCAAAGTTCTAAATAACTTGGTGATCTTTCTAAGATATTATAAATTAGTAAGGGGTGGTTTAGAGGAAAAGATTGCTAGAGTGAGTCAACCTAACAGCAATGACAATAACTAATGGCAGGAAAACAAGAAAATATCGAAGTAACATAAGACTAATAAATCCTGTGCCTAACTGGAGCTATTTTGTGTAGGGACCAAAATCCCCTCTATAGCCAGTGAGCCTTGAGGCATCACCCTTATGTGTGGAAGCATAAGTACAGTAAGAAAAATGGGTTAGGGAGCCAGATTCACCTGGGTTTAAGTCCTTGTTCTGCCACCTTCCAGACCTTCTTGATCGTAACCTAAGCCACCATCTCCAGAACTTTTTCATCATCTGAACTGAAGTTCTGTACCCATTAAACAACAACTCCCTGTTTCCCCACCCTGCCCCCACGACCACTCACTCATTCTTCTGCTTTGTGTCTCTCTGACTTTGACTATTGTGGGTACCGCATATAAGTGGAATCACACAATACTTATCTTCTGTGTTTGTCTTATTTCCCTTAGCCTGTCTTCAGGGTTCGTCCATGTTGTGGCATGTAAGAAATTTCATTCTTTTTTAAGGCTAAAGAATATTCCATTATATGTATATACCACACTTTTTTTATCCATTCATCCATTGATAGACATTTGGGTTGTTTTGGCTATTGTGAATTATGCTGCTATGAGCATGCATGTACAAACATCTGTTCCAGTCCCTGCTTTCATTTCTTTTGTGTATATATTCCCAGGAATGGAATTGTTGGGATAATATGGTAATTCTATTTTGAATTTTTTTTTTTAGGGCCTACCATACTGTTGTCTTAGGGCAGGTGCACCATTTTACATTCCCACTAGCAATGCACAAGAGTCACAATTTCTATACTTCCTCACCAACACATGGCTGTCTGTATTTTTTGTTTTTGTTTTAGTAATAGCCACCATCCTAAAGGGTTGAAGTGGTATTGCATTGGGTTTTGACTTGCATTTCCCTAATGATTAGTGATGTGGGGCACCTTTTCATGTGCTTATTAGTCATTTGTATATCTTTGGAGAAATGTCTATTCATTCCTTTGCCCATTTTGGAATTGGGTTGTTTTTTACTTGCTGAATTTTAGGTGTTCATTATATATTTTAGATATTAAATCCTGACTGGATACAGGATTTGCAAACATTTTCTCCCATTTTATAGACTGCCTTTTCACTTCATTAATAGTATCCTTTGATGCACCAAAGTTTTAAATTTTGATGATGTCCAATTTGCCTAATTTTTCTTTGATTGCCTGTGCTTTTGGTGTTATATCAAATAAATTATTGCCAAATCCAGTTTCACGAAGCATTTCCTCTATGTTTTTGTCTAAGACTTTTATGTCTAGGTCTTTGATGCATTTTGAGTTAATTTTTGTATGTGGTAATGTTAGGTAAGGTTCTGATGTCATTCATTAGCATATGGTCATCCAGTTTTCCCAGCACCATTTGTTGAAAAGCTGCCTGACTTTTTAAAACAGCTTTACTGAGGTATAATCTACAACTTATAAAATTCACCTTAAAAAGTATACAATTCAACGGATTAAAAATAATTAGAGTTGTGTAACCACCACCACAATCCAATTTTAGAATAAATCCATCACCCTAAAAAAGATATCTTGCCCATCTGCAGTCACTTGCCATTCTAACCTCAAACCCTAGGCAACCACTAATCTATTTTAATATAAACGTAAGCATACAAATTGTGGTATTTTGCAGCTTCTATCGTATAGCATAATTAAGTTTATCCATGTTGTAGTATGTTCTTTTTATAGGTGAATAGCATTTCATTTTATGGCTATACCACATTTTGTTTATCCGCTGACTAGATGATGGAAATGTAAGTTATTTACAGTTTCTGGTTATGAATAATCCTACTATGAATATTCATGTTCAAGTCTTTACATGAACATACGTTTTTACCTATTTTGGTAGGAATCTAGGGATGGAATTGCTGCGTGATAAGAGAAATTTATGCTTAACTCTTTAAGAAACTGACAAAGTGTTTTCCAAAGTGTCTATACCATTTTATAGTCCCACCAGCAATGTATTCCAATTTCCCCACATCCTCACCAACACTTGTTACCATCTTTTTATTATAGCAGTGTTAGTGTGTGTATCTCATTGTGGTTTTGTCATTTCCCTAATGGCTAATGATGTTAAGTATCTTTTCATGTGTTTATTAGCCATTTTTATATTTTCTTTAGTAAAATGTCTATTTGAATATTTTAGACAGATTTTAATTGGGCTGTCTTTTTATTATTGAATTGGAAGAGTTATTTATATATTCTGGATACAAGTCCTTCATTAGATATATGATTTGTAGATATTTTCTTCCAGTTTGTGGCTTGTCTTTTCATTTTTATAATGGTTCTTTTGAAGCACAAAAGCTTTTAATTTGTATGAAATCTAATTTATCAATTTTTTCTTTTATCAATTGTGCTTTTTGTATCATATCTAAACTAAAAATCTTTGCTTAATCCAATGTCACAAAGACTTTCTCCTGAGTTTTCTTCTAAGAGTTTTATAGTTTTAGCTCTTACATTTAGGTCTATTTTGAGTTTTTTGGGTTTTTTTTTATGGTAAGTGTCTAAATTCATCTTTTTGCATGTGGATATCCAACTGTCCTACCATCATTTGTTGAAAAGACTATCGTTCCATGCTGAATCACCTTGCTGTCTTTGTCAAAAATCAATTGTAGGTCTATTTCTAGTCCCATATGTCTACCTTGATGCCATTACCATACTGTCTTGATTATTGTGGCTTTCTAGTAAGTCAGTAAATCAGATAGTGTGAAGCCTCCAACTTTGTTCTTTTTCCAAATTTTCGAAATTGTTTTTGCTGTTCAAGGTTCTTTGCATTTCCATAGGAATTTTAGGAATCACCTTTTCAATTTCCACAAACACACCTGCTAGGATTTTGATTGAGATGGCATTGCATCTATAGGTCAATTTGAGGAGAACTGACATCTTAACAATATTGATTTTTAAATTTTCCATATCCAGTTGTTACTGGTATATACATATAATTGGTTTTTGTTTTTGTTTTTATTTTTTGTGGGTGGCCAGTAGGGGGATCCTAACTTGTGACCTTAATGTTATAAGGCTGAGCTCTAACCAACTGAGCTAATCGGCCAGCCATGAAACTAACTTTTTAATATGGGCCCTCTATCTTGCAACACTGCTCTATTACTAATTAGCTGTTCTCATAGAATGTATTCTCTCCTTTTCGATTTTTTGGAAGAGTCTGTGTAGAAGAATAGGTTTGGCAGAAGTCACCATTTAAGCCATCTAGGCTTGGAATTTTCCTTCTGGGAAAGTTCCTATATTCAAATTCAATTACTTTAATGGATATAGGGGTATTCAATGTATTTCTGAGAGAGCTTTGGTAGTTTTTGTTTTTCAAAGAATTTGTCTACCAAGTTGTTCCAAATATTCCCTTATTATCCTTTTAGTATTTGCAGTATTGGTAGGTCTGTCACCAGACATTTGATGTTGTTAATTTATGTCTTCTCTTTTTTTCCTGACTGGTATGGCTAGAGGTTTATCAATTTTATTGATCTTCTCAAAGAACCAGGTTTTGGATACACTGATTTATTAATTTTCTCTATTTTTTAATTTCCTATTTCACTGATATCTACAATGATCTTTGTGTCCTTTGGCTTACTTTGGATTTATTGTTTTTTTCTAGATTTTTCAGGTAGAAGATGAGATCAGTAATTTGAAAACATTCTTTTCTAATATAGATATTCAGTACTATATATTTTCTCCAAATGCTGCTTTAGCAGCCTCCTAAAATTTTTGGTAAGGTTTGCTTTCATTTTCATTCAGTTTAAAATGCTAATTTCCTCTTTAATTTATTTTTTGACTCACAGGTTATTTAGAAGTGTGTTGTTTAGTTTCCAAATATTTGAGGGTTTTCCAGAGATATTTCTGGTATCAACTTCTTATTCAAGTGTGGTCAGTGAACATGTTTTGTATGACCTGAATCCTTTAAAATTTATTGAGACTTGTCATATGGACCAGAATATAGTTTATCATGGTAAATAGCTGTGTGTACTTGAAAAGACTGTGCATTCTGCTGTTGTTGGGTAGAGTACTCTACACATATTAAGTCAAATGAGTTGATACTGTTGTTAAAATCTATTATATATTCACTGATTTTTTTCTCTACCTGTTCTATCAATTGTTAGAGTATTGCAATCTCTGATTATAACTGTAGATTTGTATATTTCTTCTTTCAGTTCTATGAGTTTTATGTTTGTTTTTGTTTTTGACAGCTGGCTGGTACAGGGATCTGAACCCTTAACCTTGGCGTTACCAGCACCACAGTCTCCCAAGTGAGGTAACCAGCCAGCCCTGCTTCATGTATTTTAAAACTCTGTTATTAAGGTGCATGTATTAGTCAGGGTTCTCCAGAGAAACAGAACCAATAAGATGTGTGTATATACAGAAGGAGATTTATCTTATGGAACTGGCTTATGCAACTGTGGAGGCTTGGCAAGTCCAATCTGATTGGTGAAGCTGGCAGGCTGGAGACTCAGGAAGGAGTTGCAGTTCAAGTCCAAAGGCAGTCTGCTTGTGAACTAGGAACAGGCAGTGTTGCAGATGAAGTCCAAAGGCAGTCTGCTGGCAGGATTTCCTCTTCCTTGGGGGAGGTCAGCCTTTTGTTCTATTCAGGCTTTAA